AAAAAAAAAATCAGAAAATCGCTGGAGGTTTGGACTAACTGCCAGTGGTTAGCAAACCGCCGGCTAGCGGTTGGCCAAACCGCGGATGGCAGACCGGCCAACGGGTCGACTGCAGGCTAGGCATGAACGCACAAGCCGAAGCGTGCTGGCAGGCAGATCATGGGCGGGCCAAAGCCCGTGGGAGGCCAGGCGCGATGCGGCGACAGCAGAACCGCCCCAACTTGTTTCCGGGTCTGATTTTTGCCCCAAAAAGATCAAATCAGACTTTTTTGGGATCCCCTAAATCATTTTTCAATATCCCGGACTCAATTTTGACACTTTTAAAGCTGTTCGGGACATCTATGCTTAACATTGGATTTTTTCTGAATTTTAAATTGCATAAAAATTTTTCCAAAGGCCTTAACGCATATTTTCAGAATTCTGGAGCTTCGACGTCCGAAAATAAGGGGGCAACTGATACGTCCTCCAAAAATTAACTTGATTGGGCACAAATCTCAATGCAAAATACAGTTGGAAACTTCCAAAATTAAATCTGGGAGCATCTGGACTCTAATTTCAGCAAACTTATAATCAAGAGTGTCTCGGATATACAAACTCAACGACACCAAATTCGACTCAATCCGAGCCCAAACGATTCCTAATCAAGCACCCAAAGCGTTGTTGGAAAGTTTAAACCACAATTTAGGTTACCAAACAGATTGCATACATGACGTGCTTATGGTCGAATTGAGCGGCTCGACGAGAGGAATCCAACGAGCCCAAGATCACCGAATTCCGACATTATTATGGCCTTCAATTGTCTGACGAACGGTGCATGATCAAGGGATTCAATATCGGCCATCCATCCAACCACTCCTCATTTGCCCTTGATCTCTCACCTATTTACGGGCCATGTCACTCCAAAAAACTTATAAATAGACCCTTCATTTCTCTTGAGAGAGGGATGGAAGCAAGAAGAGAAGAAGAGAAGATAAAGATGAAGCCGCTCCTTAACCACCGCCATAGTTTCGCCGGACCTTTGTCGAACCACCACTTGAGGCCCTCACCTCCTCCGAACCACCGCTAGACGTCGTTGCTTTGTCGGACCAACACTTGAGGCCCTCGCCTTCCTCGACCACCGCCGGACTTCCGCCGAACCACCACTTGAGGCCCTCACCTCCACCAGACCACCGCATGACACTGTTCCTCCACCGGACCACCACTTGAGGTCTCACCTCCGCCGAACCACCGCTTGAAGGTGTTGCTCCGCCGGACCACCAGTTAAAGACCTGTGCTCCACCAGGCCACGACCTGAGGCCCGAGCTCTCACTGGACCACCACATGAGGCCTGGACTTTGCCGAACCACCACTTGAGGCTCGAACTTCCGCCGGACCACCACTTGAGACCCTCACCTCCGCCAGACCGCCATTTGACGTCGTTGCTCTGCCGGACCACCACTTAAGGCCCTATGCTCCACCAGGCCACCACCTGAGGCCCGGACTCCGCCAGGCCACCACCTAAGGCTCGGACTTCCACCGAGCCATCACTTGAGACCTTGTGCTCCACCAGGACACCACCTGAAGCCCAGACTTCTACCGGACCACCATCTGAGGCCTGGACTTCTACCGGACCACCACTTGAGGACCGGACTTCCGTTGGATCACCACTTAAGGCCCTGTGCTACACCAGGCCACCAACTGAGGCCCAAACTTCTGCCGGAACATAACCTAAGGCCCGGACTCTGAGGCCCGGACTACCGCCGGATCACTACTTAAGGCCCTGTGCTCCACCAGGCCACCACTTGAGGCCCGGACCACCACCTGAGGCCCAAACTCCCAGCAGACCACTACCTGAAGCTCGGACTATATCAGACCATCACTTGAGGGCCAGACTTTCGCTGGACCACTACTTAAGGCCCTATGCTCTACCAGGCCACAACATGAGGCCCGGACTCCCACAGGACCACCACCCGAGGCCTGGACTCCCAACAGACAACCACCTAAGGTCGGTACTCTGTCGGACCACCACCTAAGGCTCGGACTTCCACCAGAACATCACCTGAGGCCCGGACCTCCGCCGGACTACTACTTGAGGCCTTGAGCTCCACTAGGCCACCACTTGATGCCAGAGTTCTCCATGAATACTGCTAACCTCCATCACTAGATAACGATCTTTCTGACCCTTGTCCCGTGCCGACAACGGTCCTTCTGATCTCTATCTCCTACTATGGTCGTTCCGACCTCCATCAACATACAATAGTCTTTCTAACCCCGGTCTCCAGCCGACTATGGTCCTTCCGACCTCCATCAACAGACAACAGTTATTTTGACCCTAGTCTCCTGCCGACTACGGTCCTTCGAACATCCATCACCTACTATGATTCATCCGATCTCCATCACCAGATAACGGTCTTTCTGACCCCAGTCTCCTGCTGTTAAGGTCCTTCTGACCTCCGTCACCTATAATGGTCCTTCCGACCTCCATGAACAGACAACGGTCTTTCTGACCCCAGTCTTCTGCCAACTACGATCTTTTGGACACCTATCTCCTGCCGACTATGGTCCTTCCAAACTCCATCACCCGACTATGGTCCTTCCAAACTCCATCACCTACTACGGACTTATGAATGCTACACCCTCTCACTTATCTGACTGTGTACTGGATTTTTGTACAAAGCTAAGACGTTAAACTATATATTTCTCTACCGCCACGAATACTATACGACGCAACACACACACACACACACACACACATATATATATATGTATCTGTATATAGGTCATGCTTTTAATAATTGGGGGCTAAAGCAACATAAGCACCTGCAAATAATCTTGTGATTTAAATGATTTAATTATAATTTAACCCCCATATATTCAAGCATAATCTTGGTTATGTACATAAAATTGAATTAGCAAACATGAATATCTAGATTGTTTCTAACCTATGGATAATCTAATACGCCCATCCCAGATCACAGAACATAATCATAAAATCCATCACATATAGCCACACCAATCACCATCACAACACCCACAAAAACAAATAATTTTTATATTCTAACAATGTACAATAAATACTAATGCCCTAACCAAAAACTAGAGTTAGGTGTCCTAACAAATAGTTCTAAGAGTGTGACAAGCTATATGAGTTTGAATAGGTGCAGAGTTTGTTCTTTCTTAAAATTTTCTATTGGTCAAATTTGGTTTGTTGAAAGTCAACGGGAACTTTAATTTAAGTTTAAGTTTTAATGTTTTTGAAGTTTTAAAGTTTATTTTATGATAGATTTTTATTTTTGAAGTTGATTAATGATTGATTGTTAAAATTCTTCTGATTAACCATTTAAATCTTTAAAGCTCTCAATTAAAATACACATTTTTTATTACTAATTTGTAATATTTGAAATTTAATACCCCGTCAATTCATTTGGGTATTGTCACAATGGGTACAATGGGCACGAGGATCAAAGCCTCATTATAACATGTTACCCGGTAGCCCAAGGTTTCTAACTTATAAATTTTATTGACAATGTGAAAATTATCTTGTCCTTTATGTTTGATTATTTTTTATTATTGTTCATTAAGTTGGGTGATCACTAGATTTTGGTAATTAAATGGTTTTTTATATTTTATTTATTATTATTAATTAAACTCATATCTATGCCTAACTTTCAATTTTATTCAAAATCTTGAATGTTTCTAATCTTGAAAGCTGTGCATACGGCTTTGCTGGCCTAGCAGCCCGTTTTTCGTTCTCTACGACATGGTCTTCTAATTCAAGGGAATGCTCTATGTCCGCAAGACTGCGATAAATTAGCTGCATGTGTCCTAAAACAATATTGCAAGCCTCAGGCGCCTTATACACATATTGTAAGCTTATAAAACTTGTCATCTTCCTCTTCTCTTCCACTTTCCAATTTCTTTCCTCTTCATCTCCCTTTTTTTAAATGCATATGGCTTCTGAAAGAGAAATGATATGCTTGAGCTGCAAAACTGATCACGCGAAAACAACGAAAAATTTAAATGCCTGAGTGCCCTAATGGATCATTATGCAAGAGTGCACAAAAATTTCAGCCACAAATGCAAAGATTGTGAAAATAAATTTATCAGAAAGTATGAGCTCGAAGCTTATATGAGGGAATAATGTGGGTGTAAAACTCATATTATTTATATAAAAGTATGCTTCCCAAATTTTCTCCTGTGAGCTTTGAGCTTACATTTTCTCACAAATTTATTCTCACACTCCTTGCATTTGTGGTTGAATTTTTTGTGTACTCTTGCATAATGATCTGTCAAGGCACACAAGCATTTAAATTTCTTCGCCGTCTTCGCTTGATCATTTTTGCAGCTTAGGCGTATCATTCCTCTTCTAGAAGTCATCTCCATTTGAAGAAGGGGAGAGGAAGAGGAAAGAAACTGAGAACTGGGAGGGGAGAGGAAGATGATAGCTTTTATAAACTTGTAATAGACACATAAGCCTTTAAATTGCACCACATTCTTTTAGGCGCCCGAGGCTTGCAACGTTGTTATAGGACACATACAGCTAATTTACCGCAGTCTTGCGGACATAGAGCATTCTCTCGAATTAAACGACCAAGTCATATAGAACAAAAAACGTGCCGCTAGGCCAACAAAGTCATATGCTCAGCTTTCAAGTAAATTGTTTCTATCATCTCTAAGGAATCAACGAAACAATAATTTTTAAATATTTTATATTTTATTTATATAATTATTATTTTTAGCTCAACACACCTTTTACAGCATAGACTATCTTTTTGACAAAAAATAACAAACGCCTACTACAAAATTTTAATGCAGTGATGGTTATTTGCATCTTCTTGTATGTTCTCTCATACGCTCTTCTCCTCTTACCTACACCCACGATAATTCTTCTCTTATTGCTACACATATATATTGGGCATAATGATTCATTCAGAATTTAATATTTAATATTGGGCATTATGCTACACATGTTGTGGATATTGTTTTGCTTTTATAGTTGGGCTGATTATTGAAGGAAATAGGGGCTGATGGTCTTCGATTTATGTTGACGTCATCTGCGAGCAAAGATAGGAAAGAGAGCAGATGTTCGACAGTAGATTGGAGGAAGAAGATTTGCACCTATGTTGGGGAGTTCAAAATAATATATGAGAAGTAAAGAGGATATGAATCTCAGCTATTTTTTTAGTTCATATTCTACTCCTTTATTTTACAGTTGGTCTTTATGAGTATTTGATTTTTTTCTCAAGTTATATATAGGCTTGGTATAAGATTGTATCAATTATTTTAGTTTGGAGATTATTTTGGTAAATTTTTGTAGGACAATGATGAGAGCTTTTGCACCCCACATCATTTTACCTCCTTGGATGACCATTTTGACAACCAAGAAGTAGTCCACGATTGATCATTTCAGATAATACAATTGTTTGATGAAATTAATCATACATTGCACGCTACTTGGTTAAATTAACCTAGCTTAAGATTTGCTTTTCATGTACTCTATTTCTTTATTGTTGTTCTCATTTCATTTTTCTGCTTTCTCTAGCTTGAGAAGGAAAAACTTCTGATGTAAATAACCATAGAAAATACCTGAGATGTTTTAGGAGAGAAATATAGGAGGCAGTAGCATCAGAGCACTTGAATTTAATAGTCTTCACCTTTGGTATAGAGCATCGCAGAAATTGAAATATGTTATTGAAATTTGTAGGTGTGTTAAACAAAAAAAATAATAATTATATACATAAAAGATAGAATTGTGAAATATTTAAAGATTAATGTTTCATTGATTCCTTAGATGTGACATAGGCACTTTACTTGAAAGCTGAGCATACGGCTCCGCTAGCCTAGCGGCCCGCTTTTCATTCTCTATGACCCGGTCGTCTAATTCGAGGAAATGATATACGCCCGCAAGACTGCGATAAATTAGCTGAATGTGTCCTAAAACAACGTTACAAACCTCGGGCGACTAAAAGAACATAGTGAAAGTTAAGGGCTAATGCTCTTATTGCAAGCTTATAAAAACTATCCTCCTCTTCTTCTTCCTCGCCCCTCTCACTTCCCAGTTTCTTTCCTCTTTCTCTCCCCTCCTTCAAACGTAGATGACTTTCAGAAGAGGAATGATATGTCTGAGCTGCAAAAATGACCAAGCGAAGAAAACAAAGAAATTTAAGTGTTTGAGTGCCCTGACGTATCATTAGCAAGAATGTACAAAAATTTCAATCATAAATGCAAGGATTGTGGAAATATATTTGCGAGAAGTGTGAGCTCGAAGCTCATAGGAACATTCCCTCCTGTGAGTTTCGAGCTCACACTTTTGTGCAAATCTATTTCCACAATCCTTGCATTTGTGGGTAATTTTTTATGCACTCTTGCATAATTATTCGTCAAGGCACCCAGACACTTAAATTTTTTGCCGTCTTCGCTTGGTCATTTTTGCAGCTTAGGCGTATCATTTCTTCTTTCAGAAGTTATCTACGTTTGAAGGAGGAGAGAGGAAGAGGAAAGAAACTGAGAAGTGAGAGTGAAGAAGAAGATGACAATTTTTATAAGCTTGCAATAGGCACATAAACCTTTAACTTGCACCACATTCTTTTAGGCATCTGAGGCTTTCAACGTTGTTTTAAGACACATGCAGCTAATTTACCGCAGTCTTGCGGACGTAGAATATTCCCTCAAATTAAACGATTGAGTCGTAGAGAACAAAAAGCGTGATGCTATGCCAACGGAGCCTTATGCTCAGCTTTCAGTGAATGGAGACGGAGAGGAGCTTAGTGCAACAAAGAAACTATGAGATCAAATGGAAGAGCGGTGAGTAGATTTCGCGAACAAGCGAATGTTAACACCATAGAATCTTACCGGCGAGTCGACGTCCTCCATTGAGGGGTTTGTGCAAGGTTTTGAATAGTTTCTAGTAAGCAATCTGAGGAATCCAATTTAGGGAGAGATATATGCAAAGTGGGATTCGACCAGCATGGGGGTAGAGTTGCGTCTTGGTGGTGGCGAAGGGGCGGCGGAGTACGGGAAGCCACTTGGCTTTTCGTGGACTGGGGTTTCGGTGAACGCAACTCCATTAGAACAGGCTTTCTTTCCATTCCCAAGATGTAGTTCAGGTGTGGTCAATTTTTCTATTTTCTATTTTTATTTGTGTTACTTTCATGATTCTCATCAAGCTATTCAAGTATATTCTCGCCAAGAATCTTTGAAGCTGTTATTATCTTTAAATGGTTTGAGATTTACACCACAAAAGCCATTACAACATTCTTATTGGCTTCAAAGACTAGCTATTTCCACTGAGATAGTACTATCTTTGGCCATTCTCCTTCCTGAAGTGATTCAATGCATCTTACAACATCAGTTTTCAACTAGAAGCTTGGATGATCTATGTCGTCTGTGTTTTATGAATTATTTCTCAACATTTTTCATATTTTGAATTGGCAGTTGAAAAGTTCAAGTTATATGTTTTTTACTGCAAAAATGACGACTTGTTTCAATTATATATATTTTTTATTCCTTCATATTAATCGTTTGGAAATGGCATAATGTTGGCTTGGGTTTTTTTTCCAACTTTGATGGAAACATCTATTGGTATGTTATAGTGTTCTTCTCCAACGGTACTTCTTGTGAGAATTTTATGGTGCTTTAAAAAACCAACTTTATAGATTGGGTCTCAGAGGATCTTGATTTCTATTACATTTCTTATGATGAGCTAGCTTCTTCTCTCAAGATTTCCTTTGGTTTTATGTGGTTCTAAATTGCATGTGTGATGATTACCTTGCTTTTTTACTTAATTTTGTTATAAATCTATTCCATTTCTTAAGCCATTCTATTTTATGAATCTACCTTTTAGATTTATGGTTTCTTTGCCTATTAACATTATAAATTTGATATAGTAATGATTGACTATTTTTTAAAGCACATCGTGAATCAGTTAAGAAAAAAGGTTTATTCACTCTTACGCTTTGTGCTTTCTTATATCTTATTTATCTTTATGTTGCTTTTGATTAATAATTTTTTTAGGAAGTTTCTTCACTCATTCTACTTGGCTAGCTTTTTAACAATTTTTTAAAAATTTCTAAGATAAGAAACTTTTACAATCAGATTTGATATAAGAAGCAGCCCAACTCTTTTAGTAAGAAAAAAATTATAATATCACATAACTAAAATGTATATTTCTCATAATAATTTGACAACTATCTTTTAAATAATTGTAACTATCCCAAACACACCCTTAAATGACAATTTATCTAGAATCTTTATTGGAGTTTTACTATAGAAGCAAGATACATATAATTTACTAATATTAATGCATATATTATGGCATTTTGGCTTACCTATATCAAAATTCTTCATATACATTGGCTATGGTGCATCAATAAAGTCTTGTAAAAGATTCGCCAATGATGTATTATGGCATTTTGGCTTACCTTTTTAGCAGCTTTCATTTAAACTTTAATTCATATATTCTGATTTTGTTTTGTGATAAACTTTGTTTAATCACTTAGTTGTATTCTGTACCCTTTTGCTCATACCTATTTGAAGTTGTTGAAGTGTTTTTGTTAAAAACCTTGAATAAAGAGATCTTGAATTGAATCCTATCCAACAACAACACCTTCTACCACTGGTTCCCCTTGCCAACTGCAACCTAAACCTTGTGGCAGATCTTCTTGCCTCCCTACTTGGACGGAGAGCTTGCTTCCACAGAGAGAGAGAGAGAGGGAGGGAGGAGAAATAGAGGGAGAGAGAACTCACGGTTAGGGGAGGGAAAAATATAACTGAATTTTATTCATTCTCATTATTTCTCAAAAATACAAGTCACTCATTTTTATACTAATTAACTCAAAGGGATAAAATATAAAAGTAGCTTAAAACAAACACTTAAACTAAAAATAAAATCAATATGTCCAATACGAACCAATATCTAACAATCTAGATTCATGAGTGTTTAGAAAAATTCTCATAGGTAGCTTTATTTTTTATGATTCTTACTCTTCATTCTTTAGCTTTATTTTTTTGAAATTTTAGAGATGTATGTGGTTGAAGAAAAAGGTGGAGTGATTGCTCTAATGCTTGTCACCTTGCTATTTTGTCTATCATAATTGTATATGTATTGCAAGTATAATTAATTTATAATGATTTCCCGAGTTTTAAAGATGATCTTTGGGGGCTAAAATATGCTCATGAATTTAAATGACTTCTACCAGGTGTTTGGGAAGCTTGGCCCAAGTTTATACGATTTTCTTCAGAAATATAGTTACCGGCCTTTCCACTTGATCTTGTTTGTAAGATTGGCAAGCAACAATTTGAATTTGTAGCATGTATAGACTATGCTTTCATTTTTTCAGTTTTTTATGATTGTTTCGAACATTAGTACATTTGAAAACCTTTTGTGAGGATAATTTTTGTTTGAGCTCATGACATTTTACTTGTGCAAAAATTAAATTATGATTTTTAATATTTTTAGCTGTATGATTTGCAGCCAAGCCTGTATTATTCATTTTAATTTAATTTCAATGGTTTTTAGTGGTTGCATGTAGGGGAAATTTAATTTTATTTGCCAATGTTGAACTTGTGTGCAATTATGCAAGATTAGCATCTCATTTGTATTGATTTGAAGCTGAAGAACATTCTTATTATTTCTCAAGAGCATGCTCACAAGGTATTTTGGCTATATATTTCTTTTTCTTATGCCTTGATTAAAAATTGTTTATTGTTTGTTAAGTGTTAAATTCTAGATTTAATAAATTTTGGATTGCTCATTTCTTTGCATAAATGTTGAAATTTTATATTTTATTTTATTATCTCAATTTTCCAATCACAAAATGAGATTACCCAAGTCAAGCGTCATCAAGGTAATTGATTTTGGAAGCACAACTTATGATAGCTAGGATCACACTTATATTATAATAACGAATGATTTGTGACACTGAAGCACTATTATTTGGGCAACTGTATATAAATAGAGGATTTTTATTGATTAAAAAGGGTAAAATCATAGGTAAACCATGATTTTGAATGAACGATTGCCATGAAAAATATTTATCTTTACATATTTGCTGCATATCATTAACTTACTGCTTGATTAGCCTTCTCCTTTAGCTTGATTCAGGAAGTAAATGACAAGGGCATTTTTAGTGTTTATGATTCAATCATTTAAGCTGTGAAAAAGGATTTAACTAGCAACCCAAAAAGGTACAATAAGTATGACTGTGAAACCCTGTTGACAAAATTGTCTAGCTAATTATTGACCTAATTTTTGTATGATATATTAAACTTATATAATCTACTCCTAGCATTTAAGTTTTTCTACCATAGTTTAAAAATCACCTCTAGGTTTTTCCTTAGGTGGACAGTCAATGACTAGTATTGGCAAGCTTTAGAAAGCCTACAAATCCCATAGCACATCCTCTAATGGACTAAAGTAGGCAACAAATTCGCCAAAACAAATGTCAATTCATCCGGAGTCAAATAAAATCAAATTGAACAAAATTTAAATCAACCCAAAAAAAAATAAATTATACCAACCCAAATCAAGCGAACTCAATTCCTTTTTAATTGATTTAAACTAAAACAAGCCATAATAAATTTAAAATCTAATTTAATCGGTTTAAATTGAATCAAATAGAGTAAATTCACTTTTCTTGGATTTTAATGATTTTTTTCTATCTATTACGTTTTTGTGTTCATTAGAAAAATTTAAGGAATTGGAATCATCTCTCGTGAGGGTAGCAGAGAAGACTTTCATGCTCATGATTTTTGCCTTGAAATTTCAAGCCCATGATCATTTTCGTAAGGGAAAACATCTTATAAATCATATGACAGCAGACCAGCAGATATAGTTGAGTAAGGATAATAATATGAAATAATGACGATTACTGCTACAATAGAATGTGTGTAACACACAAACATGCCCAGCTAAATATTTATGAGCTTAACAACAGAAATAGCGCATAGTGGGAAGATAAGTGTGGGCCAATTATAAGAAAACGCAAGAACTATTTTAAATAGAGTATAAATGAGAAGCTGGTAGTGTGCATGAAGTAGAGTAATATTACCAAATTAACTTTCAGAAAGAAATTTGCTAAGAATGGTGTAACAAGATATAAATTTATATAGCTTCCCGTTATAATCCAACTAAGTATACTATTTTTTATGTAAACAAAAGTATGGTTCAATGTTTAAAATTGCGTAATCGGGTATTGAGGCGTTTTTCGTTCGTGAGGCGAGGCGTAAGCCTCAAAATCAAAAGATTGTGTAAACATAAAATGATAAATTTTTTATATATTAATGAGTAAAAAATATAAAACATAAAAAAGGCACAATATATAAAGTGAAATCAAAATATCCCAACAGTAAGACAATATTAAATATAGTTCAACTCAAATTCTATCTTTTCCCAAATCACAGTATTCTTTTCATTGACATATAATTCCAAAAATAAATAGCAATGACATATCACATAATAACTCATAATTCATCAGCATTGTCATCACTAAGGGGTCTTCATTTGAATCATCATTATGATGAACTGCTCTCACCCCTTCCACCTCTCCTATAGAGTCTAATGTCTCTCAATCAAAGCATGCACTCATGAAGAAAACTTATGAAAAACATGCACTCATGAAGAAGCAAACTAACACTAACAACTATTACAAAAGATGATGAATACAACAATATGCCGGGCAGCCGGGGGTCCAAGGGGGCGTTGCCCTCTGGCGGGGTTTGACCAGGGTCAAGGGGCAGCGCCCTTGCAAGGATTTTCGGGGGCAGCACCCCCGAAATTTTTTTTTATAAGAGTAATTTTGAAGTTCTGCTTATTTTTAAAGTTCATAAGTCATTGTATGGAAAGATACCGAGTAGTATCGAGCATGTACTGAACATGTATTGAGTAGTACTGAGCATGTACCAAGCAATATCGAGCATGCACCAAGCGGTACCGAACATGTACCTAGCGGTAACGAGCATGTAGCGAGCAATATCAAGCATGTACATAGCGGTACCGAGCATTATTGTACCAAGTGGTACCGAGCATTTTTTTTTTAAAAAATTTTAAGAGGCGGACGCCTCTAAAACATGAGACAAGGTGCGCCTTAGTGAGCTTGAGGAGTACGCTTCAATGCCAGCTCTCATTGCGTAGACTTTGAGGCTTAAAGTTTAAAATTGCGCTAAGGCGCGCCTTGAGGCGCGACTCTTATTGTGCAAATTTAAACCATGCAATATACACATACACATTCCACCTTAATATTCAATTTATACACATTTTTTCTCTTAACGACAACTTGCTTAAATGCAAAGCAAAACTCTATCACTTCCTTTTTCCCAAAACACTACATGTGACAACTCATGACACAATTCTCAAAGCATGAATATAAAGAACAATAAAATGTACTAAACCCTTCAACATGATACATAAAATCAAAGTCCTAAAAGCACCAACTTCTCTTTCAAACCAACATATGAGAATATACAAATCGCTTAATTCACATCTACAAGAAAAATATAACACAACTTGAATACTCATGTGAGATTGAACGTATCAAAACAATTTGCAATAGAGTTCAAGATTTGTTTCCAAAACTCAAAGGGGATTACCAATATGATCACTCAATTTCCTTTTATATCACATATGCATGGGTATAGGTAAAGTCTTAAAGCACAAATCACAAGTACATGCATTTTTTTTTTTCAATTATATACAATTATATTAAAGAAGTGTTATTATTGCTCTTCTTTCTCTACAAGCTTGATGGCATTTCATTCTTTCCAAAGATCCATGCATCTCTCTAGAATAAGCATACAACCTTGGCTTGAGACGACATATACCCATGATTGAGACATAAAGCAAATGAGATTGTAAATCATGATTATTGAGCTTCAAAGCACATAATATCAATCATCTATGAAATGTTATGACCCACAAATATATGAGTAAAAAGGAAATATCATCTCTTAAACTAACCCTTCAAATTATCTCTTTTTAAAATAGCACATTCTATTTTTGAACATTCAAAGCATCAACACAAATATTGAATTTTGAAATCCTTGTACACAATAATTTGAATCCCATATCAATATCACATTGCAGCTATAAGTCACAAAACATAGGACTTATGTCAGCATTTTTTTTTTATCTTTCTCAATAATAGAACATAGAGACAATAGTTTTGTGCTAACTATATGAAATTAAGCATAAGAAATTGAAGCTCATTGGGTTTCTTTAAATGATAAGTTGTAGGGCTCCAAAATTTAAAAGTATAAAACATAATTTTAGCATGAAAATAAGAATGGTAGAGAAAAGACATGATTCTCAACTCCCTTTTCTTGTTCTTTGAAGAAAGAACCAATACCATTAATGCCCTTACTTCACCTCAAATATCAAGAAACAACAATATACAACTATAACAATGCTATTCAAGAAGAATTTTCTATTGTAATGAAGAGATTAAGAAGAAGATTGAGAAGATGATTGAAAGAAAAGAGAAAGAAGAAGATTGAAAAAGAAATTGAGGAGAAAATGAAAAGGTGTAGAAATAAGAGAAGAAGAAGATTACCCGAAGTTGAGGAGATTGCCGGCGTCGGCTAGGGCAGAGGAGGCGACGGGAGAGGTTGTCTTCGGCTAAGGCAAGCGAACAGGAGGGAGACGAAGGGAGGGCTTCGTACGCCTGGAGTCGAACAGGAGGTAGGGATGACTGTAGGCTTCGGCTAGGGCAGAGGGAGACGGGTCCAAGGCTTGCAATAGGGAGGAGCGACGGGCTGGGGTAGGAGGCGGATCTGTGCATTCGGTTCGTGCGAATGGGAATGAGGCGGACGGTTACCGAAATATAAGGGCAAATTATTGGGTCAGGTGACCGAAGCCATCTCTCCGTTCGGTCGCCAAGAGAAATGCGACATCTGTTAGGCATTTTTTTAATTTAATATGTTTGCTTTATGTCTTGTCAGAGTTAGCGACCCGACCCGATAATACATTTCATTTGAACTTTTAAGCATTTGCCGCCCTATTTTTGCATTTTGATACCCGCGAAAGACGCAAATATCTACTGCTGTAGAAGAAAAAATGAGCCAGAAAATTGCAGAGAAGAAATGGACTGCTCAGCGAAGAGGGAGGTGGAAGAGGCATGGAAGAGGGAGTGCATGAATCGGAAAGGATGCATGAATCGGAAGGGCTGGTGCATGAATCGGAATCGAAACCTAACTTAGCCGGAAATTCCTCTGGTTTCAACATATCGGTAAGTTTTTTGAAAAACCAAGTTAGAAAGTTGTAAACAGTCAGTTTTAATATCATCGCCGCAGAAAGAAGACGTAGGTTTCAGTTCATTAGTCTTAGGATCTTTGATTTTGCGATTTTTAATAAATTTCTTTTGTCGAAAAAGTAAAAAAAAAAAAAGAAAATATAATGTTGTTGTTTCTTAGCTTTCATTATTGATATTTTATTTGATGATAGTGATGAAATAAAAAAATTGAACATTGGTTTGATATCTAGTTGCGCTTTACTTGCGCTTTACTTGCGCTTTCAGGCTGTTTATAAAGATGAGACATAAGCATGATGAATGTTTTGCACTATATGCTCAACGATAATGCTTAAGTGTCTAAAAGGTCATCACAGTTTTTGGCCAAATTCTAGAAAGATAAAATCGAAGGACTTTGTTTGTTCAAAAGCTGGTTTCAAGAAAAGTGATGATCATAATTCAGGAAAGAGAAAGAGATTCACTAGACCAGTTGTCAGAACTGGTTGTCACAGCCAGGTGAGGTTTGTCAATATGAAGATGGTTTCTGGCATGTCAAAAGATTTATTGAATCCCACAACCATGAATTAGCTAGCCAGCCGACCGACACCTTTTAATCAATGTAGGAATATTATTGAGGAAAAAGCTTTCGTCCATAAAATCGATGACAGTTGCAGGGATTGAACCGTTGATGCATATACTACCATTGCAGAGGAAGTTGGTGGATGTGAGAATGTCGGATTTTCTAAGAGGGATGCCTACAATTTTATTCAGAAGGAAGAAAAGAGCAAGGATTGAAATTGGTGACACAATTCTTTGATTCAATTATTTTAAAGATCACAAGTTGAGGACCACATGTTCGCATGGGATGTTCAATATGATGATCAGGATAGATTGTTAAATTTTTTCTGGGTTTGATGGCAGAAGCAGGATAGATTATGAATGTTTTGGAGATGTGTTGATTTTTTTATACTAGTTAAGGTTGAACAAGTATAATTTTGTTTGTGCGCCATTTTGTGTGTTAACAATCATTGGCAGAATATTTTGTTTGGGCTTGCTTTTTTGTCAGAAGAAACAATTGAAAGTTTTACATGGTTGTTTAAAACATTTGTACGAATAATGGGTAATAAATATCCAACAACAATATTCACTTGATCAGGACTAAGCTATGGTCAGGGCATAGAAGTTTGCATTACCTCACACTCGTCATTAGATTATGCAATGACACATCTTTAAAAAGGTTCCATCAAAAGTTTCCATCTACAATAGCAATAAATAAAGTTAGAGGACTATTCCATAAGTGTATGAGGTGGTGTGATTCTGAGGAAGCGTGGGATGAAATGATCAAGGAAGGAATCTTCATAACCATGAATGTTGCAGGATCTTTTAAGATAAGGAGAAAGTGGTTAACTGCTTTCACACAAGGATTCCTTTTGCATGGGCATTTTATCAACGCAGCGTAGTGAGGTTACTAATAATGTGTGTCAAGTGGCATTTCAAAGCCAACAAGTTCATTAACTGATTGTTTTCTTGGCTTGGAAAAGGTACTGATGAATTGGCTGCGAAATGAGCAGGATGAGGATTACAAATGCAGTCAATCTGAAATTGTTCCGTGATAAGAAACAGCTCAATATTAAAAACAAGCTGCTAGATTTTACTCAAGAAAGAATATATTCAATTTTTGAGGAAGAATTTATAAAGGGTGTGGGAGAAATGAGTATAGATTTTGTCTCGACTGATTCTTCAAAATTTCTAGTCAACTACATAGAGAAAAAGAATCCAAACCATCCTTGGGTTGTTCACTTTGATGCAACAGAAGGTAACATTCAATGCAGCTGTAAGAAGTATGAAATCATGGGATTGCTGTGTTCTTATTGTTTGAGGGTTTTTAAACAGTTGGATATGGCTAAATTCCCTGGAAGTACTTATTACTTCGATTGGTCAGCAAGGGTCGACAAGTTTTTATTCAGGTTACTTGCTTAATTCTCAAAAAAGTAATAATTTTCAAAGTGGTAGGGATTCATATTCAGAAATCAGGTGAGCGAGGTTTGCATATCAAATGAGCACGGAAGCTCAAGGGAATGAGGAGGCAGAGGAGTTTATTCTTTCCTCATTGCAAGACATGTATAAAAATTATACCTAATTCTTGGTGGCAAGAAAAGAAATGAGAAGGATGTTGCTAGTTCCAAGGTGGAACTGCTAATTTGAAGATCCTCTAAAGCGTAGACCTAAAGGCATATCAAATGCAAGACTGAAAAGCCATTGGGAGAAGAAGAAACGGCTTAAGAGTGTGTTTTTTAATAACTTGTTAATTATTTAATTCCTATTCCTAAGACTAAAACTCTATTTCTTACAGATAAGAAACCTTTGGTGGGGGATAACCCAATGGATGAACCTTCTTCAAACACAACCTTCTTCAACATAGATGAACTTTTCAAGCATGCTAATGTTTCAGTGAGGAATATATAACCGGCATACCCACATGCCAACTGGAGCTGAAACACCAAGTTGATGATGGATTTTCTTTCTTCGGAGTTGGAATTTAATGAATTTACAATGTAATAATATTTATTTGGACTTATTGATTTCATTTATTGGTTGTAATAAAATTGCGCTAAAGTTTGAATTTGCAATGTAATATTTATTTGAATTTGCAATATAAAAATAATATTTGGATTGACCTAGCGCTAAGGTTGCGCTAAGGTTGCGCTACGGTTGCGCTATGGTTGCGCTAAGGTTGCGCTAAGGTTGCGCTACGGTTGCGCTAAGGTTGCGCTACGGTTGCGCTAAGGTTGCGCTTTACATAATATGCACAATGTAGAAGTTACAGAATATGGTTTCGCTTTGTTAGAAGTTACAGAATATGCACATGTTATACAACAAATAAGAAAATATATAATAACATAATAAAATGTACATTTATAATTCATGGATAATATCTATACTACTATTATAAAAGGGGCTTGAGTTTCCACCCCTATGCAATCTTGGCCTTTCATTTTAATTCTTACGATATTATCCTAACCCTTCATTATATTATAAATATTTAATAATTCAAAAAATATAAAGCATAATTATGCTGCTTAATTAATAATTAATAATAAATTCAATTTAAGAAGTGATTAATTCAAAGTGGCTAATTAAATTTTATTAATTAATTATACCGTTTCAATTAATTACACATAAAGTGGATAATTAAATTTTCTTAATTAATTATATCATTTAAATTAATGACACATAAAAGTATATAATGTATTTATACTGCTTAATTAATAATAAATTCAATTAAGAAGTGATTAATTCAAAGTGGCTAATTAAAATTTCTTAATTAATTATATAGTTTAAATTAATTACCCATAAAGTGGCTAATTAAAATTTCTTAATCAATTATATCGTTTAAATTAATGACATAAAAGTTATGAGCCAAACATTTACTTGTGATAATCACAATTAAAATTCATTATAATTAAAATTCTATTGGTAAATTTGAAAATTCATGTGATAATCTATACTACTATTATAAAAGCCGCTTGAATTTCCTTCTGCCTAAAATATTAGCCATCCATTTTATTATTTTTAAAATTATCTTGTCCATTCATTGTACTAAAATAATTATTAAATCTATAAATTTATAATAATTATACAATTTACTAATTGTTACATACATTTAATAAATTAATTAATTAGGTAAATTAATGTATCTTAAATTTTTATTCCTCAACTAATGTCTCTTAAATTTATTCCTCAACTAATTAAATTTTTAGTCTTCTCGAAGCCCGCTTCAGATTCCCTCCATTTATTTTATTTTTTTCTTAAATTATCTTGATCGTCCATTGTATTAATGCTCTATATATAATTCTCATTCTAAATTAATTTTAAATCTTCTAAACGTTTTAATTTCCTGCAAGTTTCATTTATTTAATTATGTTTCATTTCCCTATCGGTTATCAACCTATTCACGCGAAAGATGAGACGTTGGCTCTTCCTCTTCCGCTACTCTTCTTGTCATTCTGCTATGCAGCTAGCTCTTCTGACTCTTCGTTTCTTCAAGAAATTAACAATGAAGTAATACATCAACATCTCTTCGGATCCCACTCACAGCCTAAACTCTTCATCTTCAAGTTGCTTGATTTTGTGCCTCTTCCGATTCTGCTCTGCTACCATCCATTTCAAAGAAACGTTAAAAGAGCTTCTTCACATTCTTCTCCTATCGGATCGGAAGTCACAAAGCTCGCATTCTTCTTTTGTCGGATTGGATCGAAAGACAGATAGGAAATAATTTAGGAGAATGGAGTAGCACTCTAAACCCTAATAGGGCTTTCCTGATAGGGTTCTCATACTTCTACCTGCGTATACTGCAATCAGTTGACGGTGAAATGACAACCTTTCTTATACAAATATTTTTCATCTCTACATATGGAATCATTCCGTCTTCGCTTTTCCCAGTGTGCTCCTGCATAAACTTTGCAGACTTTCCTTTCTCATTGAGGGTTTTCAAAATTTGGATGGATGCTGAATAAGGAGAAGATGAAGGCTATGGTATGCTTATTTTATAAATTTGTTGCTTTTCTCTCATTGTTTTGTTTTCCAAGATAAAATGCATTCGAAATTTTTTGTTCGTAGTTTTTTTTGTGTGTGATACAAGAAATTCCTAAGGAAAGTTAACATAATTTTTTTTTTGCAGTTTCATCTATTTTCCCATCTAATGAAAAAAATTTTATTCCTATTTCTTGAAATTTGGATTTTTAGATTGCCCTTTCTTGAATTTTCTCTCATTTTGCATAACGATCAGGTGAAAAAATCACCCCGTTCTTGTCATGTTGATGGAAGCTGACAATGCATAATTTTTTTCCTTCTTTTTGTCGTTAAACTTATTACCACCACATTTATGGATTTATCTGAAGTTTAATCATTTTCCTTAGGTAATTTGTCATTCTCTGTGTTTGAGCACTTCTAACCAAGTTATACATTTAGACTTCATTTGGGACGGTTTTTTTACTGCTTCTTAAAATAAATTTTTTTGTGGAAAATTAAATTTAAATGTAAGAGAATATGTAACATCTAAAATGAACGATAAAGATATAAATATGTGTCTTTAACTTCAGGTACAAATTTAAATTTTCTTCAATAACTGCAAGGTACACGAAGAGTTCATAACCAAGAATTTTGTAGCGGCCTAATTTTCTGATTGGCTGAATTTTTCAAAAATGGTGGCTTATCCTTTCATCTTCTTGTCATCATTTTATGGAGTAACTGCTTGATTAGCCTGCAAGTCCTCCAAACAAATGACAAACCTTAACGGGTATGATGTAACATATTTTTTCTTTTACTATTGTGATTTGTATGATCTTACAGCATCTCATATTCCTCTTTGTTAGAAATTTTTTTGATAAATTTTTGTTGTTTGGTTGGCTTGGATGAGACTTTTTTTAATGCCATTTGAATGCAGAATGAAAGTCAAAGCTTATCGGGATGAATCATCACCATATGCAGCTATGCTTGCAGCACAGGTTTTTGTCAACTTATCCTCAACCAAAGCAGCAGGTGAAAATTAATTTCATTTTCAACAAAGTTTTCATTTCCTTATCATTTTCTCTCTTTTAATTCCTTCAAACAAAAAACTTCATGTTGTAATAATCCCTTCTTTTAACTATTGAATTATATAATTGAACAGTCTGAAATTATTCCTGGATAGCATGCATTCATCGTCGCAATTGCTCTCGATAGGTTTTAACAACTCTATGGAGGGATATAATACAAACATCACAGGTTATGTTGAAGTTATTATGCTTTACTTTGTTTTATTATTATTATCATTATTCTTCACTATTTTATGATAATTTATTATCTGATGAGTGACATCGCATAATATTTAGTTATATTTATTTACTTGCAGAGGATATGACCCCAATTCTCACTCATAACACCCGTAGAAAGGTCGGTAGAAAGGGGAGGATATTATAATATATGCATTCGTCTGTCAAACCTTCTTCTACTTTAACAAAAATTCTTTGAAGAGGGAGGATATGATAATCTAATAGTAAGAATTTTGTAGGTTATAGTTTGTCGTTGTTTCGTTGATTTGAGATATTTTTTGTTGTATTTAGGACACCAGAAGTCTTTAAGATTTTTATTTTTATTTTAAATAAGAATATTTGAAGATCAAATTTTTGCATATTTTATGTTGATTTTGTTTTCTCATGTTGTTGATGGGATTTGCTATTGATGGGTAAAACATGAAAAGCTATTGTAAAGTAGAACAACAGATTAAAATTTTTTGCTATGGTTATATCATGTTTTTGTAAGGTAATGAGATTTATAAATAATCTTGCAAAAATTTTGTTGGTGACATTAGCCTTAATTATTTTTTAATGTTAAAAATGCGTTAGTTATGCTTAAATAATCATTTATTAAAAAAATTTATCGATTCAGCCATAATAATCATTATTATAATGTGATTTTGGATGCAGCATAAATAGCCATAGATTTTACTTGATAGGGCCTTTAATGTCATGCTTTAAATTTTAATTTAAAATCAAGCCTTCAATTGGCTCTATAGTCTATACCATGGGACTTAGCCAAACTTGAGTTGTTAGCTACTTTTTATTAGGAATGATTGACAAATTTAAATATTAACTTTGCACTTATGTTACGGATATTTTAATACAAATTTCATAGAGATGAGTTTTATAGTCATTATATTTTTTTTAAATGATTATAACATAAAATTTGATTAATAAATTATATTTTAAATCAAATTTTACAACTATAAGGCCTTAATTAAATAAGGGTTAGAACATTCTGATTAAAAATTTTGGCATATTGATGTTTGTCATATATCCTATATTAGATCTTGTTTATTTAGTACCCTCTTAAAGTTCATCAAATAATTCTAAATAAAAAACTTCATAACAAAGAGTTTTTTTTTTAATGTGAATTAATTATTTTTTAATATTTATTTAAAAATATTAAACAAAATGATATTATTTATTAAATTTAAAATTTTTATTTTAAAAATTTTATTAACGCGCATTTAATGCACGTGTCATAAAATTAGTATTTATCAAGGTCATGATCAATCCTAGGGTAGACATTAGATGCTTAATTAGCATAGCTAAATTGAGGAAATATCTAGCGACCAAACCCAACTGAGGGTTCCATGAACCTTCTGTTTAGCTCAGGTGGGGTGGAAGCCAATCAAATTAAAAAGATTTACTCATTTTTGTGTAAATCAGATGTGCTATGCCACTTTACAAAAGATAACTCACATAATCAAAATATAGAGGCGCAATCATTGGGACATTAGAATACCAAGTTTATATCATCAGGTAATTAATGAATTAAATCGCATTTGAATAAATTAAAGATCGTATTGAATGATCATTTATCATACAATACAAATCATCTGAATGCTCTCTAGATTAACCTTGATTAGTCTTGTACGATCTAATATTTGATTTAAGCTAAATGTACTGAACTATTTATAACTGAGCATGATGATCTATGGCGGTAATGAACTAATCATACTATACGAATAGAGTCAGCAGAGTTGAAAATTTAGTGTTTTTAGAAGCCTGCTATCAAACTCTTATATCTTCAACACGATCTAATCTAGCTCCCAGATTTTCTTGAATTTTATTCAACATCACTCAAATATTTCAAAACATTTATTCTGAATAGCCTCTAAATCTGCCTTTCTAATGGGTGGCTGGTCAGCAGAAGGTTGAGTGGTGGAAATTTTTTCAGTAGGTGGACAAGTAGAAGGTTGAGTTGGCGGCAGAGGTTGAGTTTCTGGTGGTTCATTATGAGGAGAATAAGGGGGAGAGAGAGGGGGAGAGGGAGGTGGGGAGGGAGAGGGGGTTGGTGTCAAGTTTTTTTCTTGCGGAAGCTTTAATTTTCTGGGGTGACTGCAATTTCTGTGGTTCATGACCTGAACGGGTTTCCAAGTTTTGTATGGCAATAATGTCAGCCCCGTATTTTTCGGCCTCCTCATTGCTAACATTCTCAAGACAAACATAAATCTGCAAAAAACAGAAAAATTTATTAAAGCGCAACCTTAGCGTAACCATAACGCAATCGTAGCGCAACCTTAGCGCAACCGTAGCGCAACCTTAGCGCAACTTTATCATAATTTGCATCATGTAAACGAAAAAATTACATCATTTTTCTTTAAAAATTTAAATAATTTTGCTGCATTCTCTTGAGTAAAGTATAATTCTGTATACCCCTCCCATCTCAGAAAACGCGGTCTTATTTCTGGATCGGAAGGTTTATTCAAAGAAAAAATGTTCCAAAAACCAAATCTGTATAATGCCAAACATAAAAATTTTAAAGTTAATATTAAAAAACATTATACATGTAGAATAACCAGTATGAGTGGAAACTTACCAGTAGAAAAGGAAAAAAACCATTGATGTAACCCAATGGTCTTTGCAGTTGAAACTTCTCAAAAATTGTGTTGAACTCCCCGACCATGAAGTTCCTTAAGCATGAAGCCCAATTAATGGAAGTGAACTAACTTAAATTATTTGCAACAGAAGTGAGCCTTCTAGGAGTTTTATGGTTATTTAGTGGAAAGAAAAAGTTAGATAACAAAAACATAATAAAGGTCTTTATTTTTTTAACATTATCAGATAATCTGTCTAATTTTGACATTTCCGTTTTAATTTCAGTTGACAGAGGTCCATTTAGAGGATCAATCCTCCATTTGATATCAATGCCTCTGTTTGGCAAACCTGTTAGAAAATTTCTATTGTTAAAGTTAAAAAAACATATAGCTATAAAAATTCCATATTCAAAATATTACCTATCAAGAAAGCAACCTCATCAGAAGTGAATTTCAGTACATGACCAAGGACGATGAAGCCTTCATCAACAGGACTCCAAAATTTGAGAATCTCAAAAAGACGTGGTATACACTGCTGGAATGCGGGGAACTTCAAAAATTGATGAATGTTTAGATTCTTTAATGTTTGCTCCACTTCATCATCAATGATCTCGATAAAAGCATCACAATATTTCCGAAAAGAAGTAACATAACATCTAGATGTTACTGGCCTTTGATACGGCGTCCTCATCTATAACAAAAAAAAATCAGAACTATATCGCAAACATAACTAAAGCGCATCAATAGCGCAACCTTACATTTCGTAATTATTTAGCTTAAAAGAAGGTTTAAATTCAGAAAAAAATAAAAATTGAACACCACATTGAACATATATGTAGTTATATAACTATTACTTAACCCTAAAATTTAGCAGAAAGCGTAAATCTTTCGTATCATTTGCTTCATCCATTTACGAAGAGAAGAAGCATGAAAAATCAGAAAATAAACATTTGAACATTACATTA